TTTTTTTCAACAGCAGGCTCTTCGAAAGAATATCGTGGCATCCGTTGCGCCTTGCGCGTTTTTATCGGGGGAGGCTTGCCTGTTCGGGGGAGCCTTTTATCAGGAGGAACAATTGAAAAATGAAACTGGCATCCAACAAGTGGTGCCGGTCTTTTGCGCAGTGCTTCACCCGCACGATACATTCCGTACTTCCCCTGTNAGGCTCTTCGAAAGAATATCGTGGCATCCGTTGCGCCTTGCGCGTTTTTATCGGGGGAGGCTTGCCTGTTCGGGGGAGCCTTTAATCAGGAGGAACAATTGAAAAATGAAACTGGCATCCAACAAGTGGCGTCTGCCTTTTGCGCAGTGCTTCACCCGCACGATACATTCCGTACTTCCCCTATGCATCCGCTCGCGTTTGCCCACATAATAAATGACCAGCAAGGAGGAGACGACTTCTTCGCACCAAACACTTTAACTCCCAAGAAGTTAACCGTTCAAACCGTCCTAACTAACTGTCCCCAAAAAACGCGGCATCCGATTGTTACGCAATGCTTTTACATCCGTACGATATACATACACCGTCCGTGCCTGCCCTCTGCATCGCCCGCGTTAGCCCACCTAAACGACCAAGGAGAAAAAATAATCTTGGCGCTGATCAATCGAAACTCACATAAAATTGGAAAGTCGATCGTGCGCGACTTGCTCACGCCAGCAAACGGCTGTCTTGGTTTATCCTGGAACACCGAAGATGCCTAGAATTCTCACACAACGTGGGTGCATCTTGCACTTACACCGCTACGTACTCCTCGAAAGTGGGTGGCACCACGCCAAAGTATTGCGAAATCTCGTTGCCCCCGTTCATGCATGAGTGCCAGTTAGAAAGCAGAGTGGCTACCAGGTACTGCTTGGCGACAGGGCTTAGCAAGAATTTCTGCTGCGGCTTCATGTTCACAAAGGCCCACTTGCCGGTCATCTCTTTGAATCCCCACTCCACCGTTACGCGGCAGTGGCTCATACGCTTGTTGCAGTCCAACGCCAGAGATGGCGTATGAGCCACTGCCGCGTAACGGTGGAGTGGGGATTCAAAGAGATGACCGGCAAGTGGGCCTTTGTGA